GTTGGGGTGCTCTGTTTGGTTTGGGGTTTTAACTGAGTTGTTATGAAAAGAGAAACAGCTGAGAATGATTGTTGTGTGTCAAACTTGTGTAAAACTCGTTTACTGTTTGAGGGAGACTCTCAATTTAATCGAAAATAAGGTGAATTGGTAATGTTTTGGTAACTGAGTTACCCTGGAAAAGCTGATTCCTCTTGGCAGAGGGTGAAACCAAAGGCAAATACATTGGCAAAAGCTGGGAAGGAGTTGGAACTTAGTTCAGAAAGTGGTGCAAGAGACTTAAGAGCATAGGAAATTATATATATATTAGTGTTTAATCTAATTACTATTAGTTCCATAATTATTACATTTAAAAATTATTCTTACTGCTCCCTGTTTGACCCAGGCAGGCAGTACCACCCTTCCAACTGCAATCCTGCTGAGACAGTTAGAGGCAGTTACTCCCTGGTTGACCTGGGATGGGATGGAGGTCCCTGGTTGTGACCTGGGATGGGATGGAGGTCCCCAGTTCTAACCTGGGATGGGATGGAGGTCCCCAGTTCTAACCCAGGATGGGATCACAGAATCATTGATGTTGGACTACACCTCTGAAATCATCAAGTCCAAGCTATGACTTAACACCACCATATCAACTAGACCATGAGTGCCACCTCCAGTCACTCCTGACTCCACCACCTTCCTGGGCAACACATTCCAGTGTCTAGTCACCCTTAGAGAGCAACTGGCTCATGGCTTGGGCACAAAGGGTTATGGTGAATGGGATTCCATCAGACTGCTGACTGGTCACTACTGAGTTCCACAGGCCTCCAACTTAGGCCCAGTGCTCTTCTAGATCTTCATACATGACTTGAACACAGAACTTGAAGGACTATTCAGTAAATTTGCAGGGAGAGACCTAACAAATTAGAGGGCTGGGAATCACCAACCATATGAAGTTCAGCAAGGGCAAGTGCAGGATTCTGCAGCTGGCACAGGGCGACCCTGGATGTATGTGCAGACTGGGGAATGAGATGCTGCAAAGTAGTGCCAGGGGAAGAGACTTGGAGCACTACAAGCTGAAACCTTCTCTACCCACCAAGACTGTTCAAGGCAGCTCTGCTGTTCCTGTCTCAGCTCTGGGAAATGACACAGGTGTCAGGCAGAAAGGACAGTTCACACTGTGTGCTCAGCACTGCAGTTCCTTGTCAGTGAAAGGAAGTGTGTCCAGCTGCTGATGCTTCCTTGGGGTGCATTTCCAAAGTGCTTTTAAACTGACTCTTCCAGGTGTACTCCTGTTTCTGGAGCATGGAATGGGCTCTGGACTTGAGGAGCTTCTAGAGCCTCTGATGTTCTATTTACAGTGCTGTAGACAATGTGCCTCTGATGTTCTATTTACAGTGCTGTGGACAATGTCTTCCCTTCCAGCAGAGTCTGTATCCCTGTGCTCTGGACACCTCGAGGCTGAAGGGAGCTTATGCAGTAGAGAAAACACTTTCAATCTTTACAGAGCTTTCCTCTAGAACACCGGAGAATCACAGAAGGTGCAAGGTCCTTGCAGTAACCTCTTGATCCACTCAGGATCTGCAAATAAGAGAACAAGTTGTTTAAAGCTGGAGGCAGAGATGAACAGAGAAAAGACACAAACTAAACAAGAATCCTGGAGCAGTTTGCATGTATTCACCATGCAGGAATAGCCAATAATTCAGAGGTATCCAAGTCCATTTTTGTCTTGAAATCCCAAGTAATGCCAGTTTAAATTCCACCTCAGCAGGGAACAAAATTAAGCTCTTGCAGAATTGGTTGCTAATATCTTCAACTTGAATATGAACTAACTGCTGGAGCACTCCAGCACAGAGTATGTGCTTACCCAGCTCTCACTGAAATGTGGGATCTACACATCAATTTCTACTTGTAACTGACACCTCACTAATGCCCAGACAACACCAGGACACTGTGAAGGCAAAGCACTGGTGCTTCTTGTGGTAACTGCCTAAAAGAGAACAGTCAGTGAAACTAATTCAAGTTATTTTGGAGATAAAAGTTACCAAGATCTAATCCTGCTCCTTTTGGCCACAGGACATTTACCTTCTGGAGTTGGATGTCGTGCAATGCTGTCGTGAAGCAAACACCTCCTGTACACCAAACTCTGACAGGACTGGTAGGTTAGGAAGCACCTGAGAAAGGACAAGGAGTTTTATCAAGAGGTTTGGGGTCTATTGTTTCATGACCTGCCCCTGGGCCCTGACTGGGGGGCTGAGTTCTGTTCCCAGCAGACTTTGCCTTCTCTGAGTAAAGGCTGTAATGAGCCACATTGAACATGAAAACTAATAATTTATTAGTTCAAGGAAATGAAACTTCCCAAGTGCACCCACTGCTAAGAGAACCAAATCCAATCTGCAATGCTCCCTTTCTCTCCCATGGAAATGGACAGCTAACAGCCAGCAAAAACTGCAGCACAGATAACACAATTCATGACGTTTAGGTGAGCTCTAACAGTGTGTTTAGATCATCCAGAGGAGGATGGAGCAGTTTATGAACCAGTTACCTGAGCCAGATGTGCCCGTTGGAGCAGACAGCCTGTTTGCGGTCGGTGAAGGGAAGGATCTCCTTGCACAAGCTGCAGTGCTCTGGGAAGGTCTGTTTGTTCATTTTCTTTAGGATATGCCCAATCAGCACCTGGGAACACACAGCAGTCAGCAGGGATTACAGTGAGGGGAGGAAACTCCTCACAGGGTACTGTGATGGCAGCAAATGATACAGGATGGATTGAAGTCACAGGAGTAAAAGTGTAAACAACATAAGGCATCAGGAAGTATTAATTGATTGTCCTTCTGCTGTCATCTCCTAAAGATTTCTGTCCCACAGGAGACCTAAAAGAGCAAAAATGTTATCCTAAGCTGCTTTGAAAGAAGTGGTATCACACCACTGACCATCACATCAAGGCTCTCCCTCATGCCTGTCACAGTGGCTGTGCTAAAGCATTCCTGTTCAGAAATCAACTGGATGCATGTCTACAGCAGTCACCTGGGAGCATATTGTTTATAGTACAACATCTAGGCACCAAATTTGACACTTCAGTAGATACCAACCACATCCCAAGGACCTTTGAAATGTGACAGCAAACAAAACAGGTAAAATGCGACTTAGAACTCATCTTTTAATCACTATAAAGAGAAGAATCTTGTTTATATGATAAGAAAAGCAACTTATCCAACCTTCAGTTCATAGTAACTGGATGCTAGAACAACCCAGGAGTTGTGCCAGAATACTTTCCCAGTGAATTACTGATGGCCACATTTGCTTTGAGTCCAGCAGGAAGAACACTACATCAGTGATGGGCACGTGCTTCCTTCCTCTATCTGTCTGGGTGTAATGTAAAGGTTCATTTTTACAGCTCAAGTGATTCAAGGACTTTGGCACTGAAAAGAACTCCTCTCTGCTCAGGTAAAGAGGTACAGAGACACCTGAGCCATTCTTGTCATGGAGTTTTAAGAGCTGTGAGGCTGATGTAGAGTATTCCCACTGAGGCTTCCCCACTTTGTCTCACCTTTATAGTCAGCAAACTTCATTGCCCTGTGCAATCTTCACTAGCCACTGATTTCCTGCCACTAATGCTCACTCTGCACACTGCAATGGTCAGGATACTGTCCTTGCAGTTAGGCTTCTACTGTGGTAGGGAGCACTGCAAGTTTGGGAAGAGTTCCTATCCTAGCCAAGCATTCAGCTATGCTCATTTATTGTAGTGCAGTAAGTGCAAGTGTGCCTGGACCTTCTGCCCTTGAGTGCTGTGACAAAGACAGTCAGCTTGGTTAACTGGATAAAGTTCTGACTCACTGGGTTTAACTCACAAAACACAACCACTTTCTGAACCTCTGGATGTGATCGTTCCACTGAAGGCTCAGGGAGCAATGACAAGACCTGAACAGTCACTATAATTTAAGTTATAAATACTCTCAGAAGTGATCCTGCAGCTCTCAAAATCAGAACTGCAGCATAACTGACTAGAGGAAATGCATCTGAAGTTTAGTTTTGTTGAGATAACAGATTAAGTCAGCTTAGTCACGGAAACAAACATCCCTCAATCAGTGCATGTTCTAAACCCACTGACAGCAGCAGAATAACCACAGTCCTCTCCCTGGTGCTGCAAAAACTCAGGTATGATTACTCTATTGCACCTGATCCAAATCTCAACATCTGTATTCACAGTCCCTCCTACTGCACAGTTTCAGGGAAGGACAATTTAAGCTGAATGCTCTACAGGAGCTGACTGGCAAGGATGACACAATCACAGTTCTCCTTCCTACCCCAGTTGTATTTTCAGGAGGGGGAGAAGGAAGTAACTTGTAACATGGAATCCCAGAGCACAGAGGTGCACTTACTCGTGCCGTTCTGTCATCATAGCCATCATCAGACATTAGGAAGTCACAGACTCCTCTGGTGGGAATGCTGGTGTTCTCTGTAATCCATGTGTGTAGATAAACCTCTCCCAGCACCCGTTTCATGTGTTCCCGTGTCAAGTGCATTTCTACTGCCTCAATCTGTGCCTGTATTTCAAGTAGTTTTTCTTCCATTGGTTCACGGCCTCCAATGTCACTTGACTGATGGAGAGAATCCTCTGCAGTGTCATCTGTGTCCACCCCTCTGCCTGTGTCACACAGGCTTTGTTTGCTGGCTTGTTTGGAAGTTCCTTCCTCTTGATCATCTTCAGTGCTGCCCATCCCAGGGGAATCTGATACCAAGATTTTGGCATCCTCGTGTGAAGGTCTCCACATGGCCTCTGAGGGAGCTTTCTGCATCGACTGGTACAAAATCCTCAGGAGAAACAGCTTAAACCTCCAGAAATAAGTCGAACCACAGCTCTCAATCTTTTTATCCAGTGCCTCCTGTAAGAACTGAGGAATGTGCTTATCCTTGAGGATTTTCCAGCGTACGAGATCCGTCAAGTCCACTTGCCGGAAAAGGTTCTGAACAGAAGACTCCAAGAGCTGTGCAGCTGCTTCCTCAAAAGTCTTAAGGGTGACAAACTGGACTTGGTAGTTCTTGTTGACAGGGTGCAGCCCGTTGGCCATGCCCTCCGTGGTGATCACGGCCAGGTACGCCCCGCACGGGCTCACGGCGATTCCATGAGTCCTGACGGAGCCAAACACCTCCGACAGCTTAATCAGCTGGTGCTCAAACTTTAAAGCAATGTCTGTGAAGATGGGAATGAGCTGCCTCACCTTCCCATCACTGGAGCAGGTGTACACCGTGCCGTTCTGCTTGTCTGCAGTCATGGAGACAATGGGCAAGGAGTGGAGTCCCGTCACGTGGGAATTGTGGACGTTCAGACCAGCTTTGGATATCAACAGGAGACACCAAAACATGTAAGCACCTCTCGCAGCCACCACCAAGCTACAGCTGCATTTCTGGTAGGGGTGGTAGAGGGGGATACATTTGATACTGTGCACAGGTAATTGGTCCATCTCCTGCCACAAGACCACAGGTTGCCTCAGTGTGAAGTAACCTTTGACTGCTTTGAGGTTGACAGGAAGGATCTTCACGGGGCCATAAGCACTCCCCACGATCAGTCCACTCATCTTCCGGTTGTTGTGTTCGTATTCCCACCAGGACAACACGCTGGGGGAACTTATTCCAGACTCTATGGTATTGCAGGAAGTGATTGACTCCTTCCCCAGGAACGGGAGCTGGAATTGCCACACGGCGATGTTCCCGTTCTCAAAGAGCACTGCCAGGAGCACACTGCCCACGTCCCTGCACTCGTTGTTGTGCTTGACCTGCTGCGTGGTGCAGATCCCAGACCACTCCATGCGCACCGGGGTCTGCATGCTGTGCCGACGCTGGAATTCCGGGAAGTCTCCCAGTTCCCCACGGGGAGTGTCACCCTTACACAGTCTGTAACTGGCTTCGTACAGTCGCTCCCCGTAGATCTCTGTCAGGTCCACCAGCTGCACCCACTGCAGCCTGTTGAGGTTGGCGTGGATGGTCAGGCGGTTGTCCATGGTCAGAGCTGCCAGCAGGCACCTCCCGTTGGCGTCACAGCCCAGAGGGGACCAGCTGGAGTACTTGAATCCTCGCATGGGGGTCAGTGACTTCCCCTCGGGATTGAACACTCGGTCCAGCATAAATGTCTGGCTAACTGTTGGATCCACCGAGCTGGCAAACTTCTCCTTGCACTCAGCCACCTCCTTTTTGGGACCAACCTGAAAGATGACAAAAAGAGGTTGTAAAACAACTGTAGAACCGTTGGGTTTTTTTTTTTCAGGAAGGCTTTCCTGAAATTAATTCCCAGTTGAAACAGCACATCCCCTATCACAACCTACACTTCACCGTTCCAATGGTTAATTAACATCACTCCTAAAGACTTAACTTCATTAATGTCATGAATTTGGTATAGTTTGGACTCTTAGCTCTTGACTCTTTGTCTGTTGAACCAAAGAGCCTGTTGTCACACTTCTGGTCTCTTAAAGGTACCTGGCACAACATTTAAACTGTCAAGGATTCGATATTTCAACTCAAGTTGTTCCATATTCTTGGAAAATAAAATCAGATCCATGGCAACAATTATCATTTAATCAGATATTCACCCACACTTACCACCTCAAAGTGTAAAGTCTGATGGTCCCTGAAGGCCAAAGCTAAGGCAGCAAACCAAGGAAAATTCCTACCTAAAATCTTACTGAAATAACTAGTGATGCTCAAGTGATTCTTGGAAAAACCACAGAACTTTAGATTCTCTGAAACCCACTCAATCCTGGATCACATTCCTCCAGGACATCACTGGGATATGTGTTCTCACAGAATCTCCTGAGCTGGAAGGGACCCACAAGGACCATCAGTCCAACTCCTGTTCCTGCACAGGACACCCCAACAATCCCACCCTGTGCCTGAGAACACTGTCCAAACATTCCTTGAGCTCTATCAGCCTTGGGGCTGTGACTCTGGGGAGCTGTTCCAGTGCCCAAACACCCTCTGGGGGAAAAAAACCCTTTTCCTAATATTGAAGTTAACTGTCCCCTGACACAACTTCAGACCATTCCCTCAGGGAATTTCTCCTCTGTGCTTTTAAAACGTATCAAACGCAAGGAGACCCTGCAGTGAGTCAGGGGCTGCCTGAGGAACCCCCAGTGCCTGGGGGATCCCTGGGACAGCCTGTAGGGGAGGGGATGGGATGGGATGTGCCAGGGGTAGGAGCGGGACAGCCACAGAGCTCCATAGGGAATGGAATGGGATGTGCCGAGGGTACCTGCAGGACAGACCTGGTGCCTGGAGGGAATGGGATGGGATGGGATGTACTGAGAGTACCCGTGGGACAGACCTGATGCCCTGGAGGGGATGGGATGGGATGGAACGGGATGTGCCGAGCCGAGGTGACCCCGGGTGGGATATGGGATGGGATGGGATGTGCCAGGATAACCCCGGGATGGGAGACGGGATGGAATAACGATGGGACAGCGTGCCGTGGAGTGCCCCGGAGAGAATGAAATGGGATGGGATGTACTGAGAGTACCCATGGGACAGACCTGATGCCCTGGAGGGGATGGGATGGGATGGAACGGGATGTGCCGAGCCGAGGTGACCCCGGGTGGGATATATGGGATGGGATGGGATGGAATAACGACGGGACAGTGTGCCGTGGAGTGCCCCGGATGGGATGGGGTGGGGTGGGATGTGCCGGGATGGGATGTGTCAGGA